CGCCCATCCCCAGCAGCCCCCTTAGACCCGTCACTGTCACGGGGCAGCTGAAAATACATGAATTGGAGAGGGTGGGCCACAGTTCTGAAAGTGATTCTTGCCTTTAAGGTTTCAAACATAGAGCTGAGGTTCGTGCTGATCTCTGAGTCTCTCGTTATCGCCTGCCTGCCTTGCTCTGCATTTTCTGTCACCGCCCCCCCCTGTGTGTCCATCATGGCTCAGGAAAGGGAATGAAGGAAACACAAAAACAGGCCATCAACCCCACTTACTGTACAAGCTCCATGCTACCCCTTCATCAGCAACACGCTGCTTGTTCAGTACAGCCCAGTAGGTTAATCTGTTATCGTGTGCACAGATAAATTATACCACAGCTCTGGAAAGCTACCACAGAAGAAACACCTGCTGTCTCTTATCCCATAGTGGTCTCTGTACTCTCGGAAACAACTGCATGGGTGTAACTTAAAGTACCCCCAGAAGAATTATGCTACTGGGCAACTAAGAGCAGGTGGAGCTTCTGCATAAAGGTGTTACTGGGAAACCAGTATGCAGAAGGAAAGGACGAGGGACCAGAAGCAGGAGAAGGAGACGATGAGAAAGCAGAAGGACCAGGCTGGAGCCTGTAGACATGAAGGCCAGGTGAAGAGGAAGACCCGATCTGGATATGTTTGAAACCGAAGAACGAGCGCACTGCTGGAAGCTAATTTCCTGGGAACTCCTTCCGAAACCTGGTCCCATCAGAAGCTTGGATCAAGAAGAGTTTAGCTCTGCAACCAATTCAGAGGCTGCAGAGTTTCCCTAACCGGGAGGGGGTTCGACAAAATTAAACAAACTAGTCTTCGTCAAGGAGCGGCCTTGCTTGTAACACCCTTGACTGTTTGCGTGTGCTAGGTCCTGGGCTTGTGGCGATGACCCCCCGCCCCCCCCCACATGCCCTCCCCTTGCCCGAGCCACTCACGTGGTCCACTAATGCTGGAAAACGCTCATGCGCAGGCAAGCCCGGCCAATTAATCCCTCTCTCCCATCTGCAGGAGCCTCATCCTTCCTGTCTCATTTCCCTCTAATCTGATCGGCGTGCTCCTCCATTGACAGTGACCTTTGCAGTCCAAACAGACCGTGCCCTGCCAATTATGGCACGAGTGAGACTCTGCTTGTTTGCTTTTACAACTGTTGAAAGTCAAAGTCAGCTAATTAAAAAGAAGAAGCCTTGATTGCCTCTCTATATACGTTTCAGTCCTTTATGACTGCCCGCTCCGCTCTCCAGGAAACGCTTGCTGCAGAATTCCCTGCAGGTTTTTATTGGTGCCGCCTTTCAATCTCGATAGTTTCACATTCTTCACGGTTGACGGAGGCAGGCCTGCACGCACACGTACCAGGTGGAGACGGCCTGGATTCTTTCTCTACCAGACGGCAGGCTCCCGGGGATCCCTGGGAAATCGCTTTCGCCCTGCAGCAGCCTTGTAAGGTTAGTTTTCGACGTTTGCAAGAGTTTGGTGCAGAGAACTGTTGCCGTCAGGCAAATGTGAATGTAACCAAGTCCACCCCCATACTGTCACGCAATGTAGTACACTGTACAGTATGTATTGAAAAGACTCTAAGGAAAAATTCCCATAGTCCATCCATCCCTTTGCAAACCTTAATCCAATACAGGGGGGTAGGGGATGCTGGAGTCTATCCCAGCAAACCAGTCTGTCACAGGCCACACACAGACACACTCACACGAGAGGCCAGTTTGCCCACAAGAGAGTTAACCCCTCAGTGTGTCTTTGGACTGTGAGGGGGGGGGGATCACCACTCAAACCTGGGGAGAACATGCAAACTCCCCACAGACAACACCCCCGGTGCGGGATGGACACTGATCCTACACTGTGTGGCAGGAAGGCTCCCCGCTGCCCCACTGCGCTGTCCGTCCCACCCTTATTAGGACTGTGCAAGTCCGAATGTGTTGTCTTGACGTTAAATAGCCCTGATCAACTAGAAAGAACCACTGTAATCACGAACGTATAGGAATCAGTTAAATGAAACGGCATGAGTCCCTCCTCTGCGTCTGTGATCATCACACCCCACTATAAGGAAGTGGGCTGTAACTGTCAGTGGGCCTAGAGTCGACTCTAGTCACTCCCACCCTGCTGACACAGAACCTGGAGCGTTCGGTACCATAACAGAAACCAGACCAGGCTGAGATGCAGGAGCTGGGTAGTGGGTACTTGGGCAGGGGGCAGCTAGTGAGAGGCTCCCTCATGAGCTACATTCATCTGGCGGTCCTCGTCTGTTGAACCACCAATTTGAACGTTGTGCTCAACAACCTTCAGTTAGCTTTTGTCCTGCTCTACTCTGTACAGGATAG